TTTAATATATATATATAATATTTAAGTTTATATTTATTTATTGGTCATTTCACACGTATTTCATGGAAAATTAAAGAAGCACGTGGGTAATGGGTCCCTTCCCTAGTATTTACTTCTAATACCCCTCTTAGCGCGCGCGCGCTCTCTCTCTCTCCCTCTCCCTCTCTCCTCTTTCTAAAATAATATTAAATTTCCTGTAATATTTTATATTCGGATGAGCGGGGGAGGCGGAAAGGGATCAATTAGATTCAAGATTCCCAATAAATTACTTTACGCTCAGGTATTTTTCGTTCAATCTCTGTTAAAGGTGCTGCCTTTCAAACAAATAATGGAGCGTGGGAGGAACTGCCTCAATGAGCGTTTTATAGATCAACGGAGATTTGTTGCCGCCAAGTATTTGGGTCGAAAGTTTTCTGATTTATGATTAACATTAACTTCGGCGAAATTCCGAGATTTCGTTTTCATTCGAAAGAGTGATTTTGATCTTTGAGGGTTTCTTCCATGGGGATTTTGATAACTTTATTGAGTGCTGGTATTTGATTGGAAACGAAAACCCATTGAATTCTGTTATTGTAGGTTTTTTTCAATATTTTTTTTTGAGTTATATATTATGATTTCTTCGACTCTGTGATGGATCATTAGATGCTTTTTTTTTTTCATGTTGCACAGGTAATTGAGTGTTTTCCAATGTCTTCTCTGGGGAAGGCCACAAATATCTTTTGGCAAGAGTGTTCGGTCGGGAAGCTCGACAGGCAGAAGCTTTTGAATCAGAAAGGCTGCGTTGTTTGGATTACTGGTCTTAGTGGCTCAGGTTTGGGATCTGTAGTTATATTTCTTTATATTTTTTTTGACGAAAATGGAATTTATGGGTTCTCCTTTTACTTGAGTTTTTCTTGTGCTTGGTTCTTACTTATTGTTAAATTTTAATGCGTTTCATATGATATGAATCAGTATGTCGCAGGAAAACATATTGATAGGCTTCAAGAAAAAGGAAAAAAAAATCTAGTTGCAGCTGTTTGGTATTCTAGTCTAGGCAGCATTTAATTAAAACAAATAAATTTTTGGAGACTTTAAATTATATTGTTTTGATAAATCCTGTTTTAGCCCATTATTAGTTAAATTCAAGATTTGTTATATCCCAATATTCACATTATTTTAGCAGATTTAAAGATTTCTCCTCTCAGAAATGAAAGAGAGACTAATAGTTCGTAACATCTTTGACACTCACAGCTGAGCTTAGGCCTTTGTTAGGCTGAAATTGGTGTTTGTGAATCTTTTGTTGGTTCTTCATCTTTCTGCTACAGTACCCATATTTTACTAAAATTAAGAAGTTAATAATGAAAGCCTTGTTAGGTCATTTAGATGCATGAAAAGCCTTCAACCAGCATTAAAATTGCACTAAAAGTTTTTATTTTTATTTTTTCATTTCCAATTGAAAAAGCAGTCTTATTTTCTTATATTAAGTAAAAGTAGGCAGGGTTGCAAACCACTAAGATACTTAAAAAGTGCAAAACCATGATGGTGATCTTAGTCTAGAACCTAAGCTGTCTTTATTTTATGCAAAATCATGTTTTCCTTAATTACTAAGGCTTCTATCCTTTGATAGGAATTTTATTGCTTTTTGTTTTTGTGAAAAAAAAAAACATTGTGCTTTAATTGTCTAGTAGGTTTCCTTTGCAAAAAAATAAATGATAAGCAATTCCATATGGAATCTTCTACAAGGAATTCCTTTTCATCACCCATTTTCACATTGAGATTTGTTTTCATTAGTTTATATCACTCATAGATACTCATACAGAAAGAACCAAATCACCATGCAAAATGGATAAGGATAATCCATTTTGTGTTAAGATATTTTTTTCCTCATCTGGGTTTTTTTTCAGATTCTTTGACCAAAGTTGATTTATTCACCTTGGGGAATCTATATGGTTATTAACAAATCTTAGTAGTACCCTAGTCTCCATTACGGAGAGTTAGTAAATGTATTCTATTAGCTTGGCCATAAGGGTTTTTTTGTTATGCTGCTGCTGTTCTTACTGTTCAATCAAACGTAGAACAGTATTGATTTGTGTGAGAACATGCTATTAAAACTCATGTTGAGCATGCACCTACTCCATAGTTTCACATACATGGGAAAGGCACTTGAAAACAACCGTTCATTTATTTGAGACGAGTGGTGACTTTAACTTTTACAACACAATAACACTACCTTACCCCTGCAATGCTTTATGGTGTAGAATGTTGGCCTTTAAAAGAGAAGCATAATACTAAGTTAAGTGTTACAGAAATGAGGATGCTTAGGTGGATGAGTGGCTTTGCCCTTAGGGATAGGATACGAAATGAGCATATACGAGATAAGGTTGGTGTAGCTCCAGTGGAAGATAAGATTAGAGAGAGTCTCCTTAGATGGTTTGGTCACATTAAATGGAGGCCTTCCGATGACCCGATTAGAAAAGTTGAGGTATTAGATTTGACTTATGTTAAGAAAGGTAGAGATATACCTAAAAAGACTTGGTCAAAAAATATTAGAAATGATCTTTTTTTATTAGATTTAAATAAGAATTTGACTTTGAACAAGTCACAAAAGAGAAAAAGGATTCATGTAGCCGACCCCACGTAGTGGGACAAAAGCTTGATGTTGTTGTAATCACACTACCTTACCAAATGCTTGTTTTGAACAAAAAAAGCATGTTCCTTCAGAAGATAACAAAATGGCCAAACCATACATCATGCTCTTCAGAAGAACCCTTATATCATAATTAGCACAAAACCAATCTTATACAATATTCAATCTCCAGCTTATCTCTTTGACTTCTAATTCTACCTTTGGACCAGGGAAAAGCACATTAGCTTGTACTTTGGGCAGAGACTTGCATGGTAGGGGAAAGCTCTCTTACATCCTTGATGGAGATAACCTCAGACATGGGCTAAACAAGGATCTTGGCTTCAAAGCAGAAGATCGTGCAGAAAATATACGTAGGGTTGGTAAGTATGGTTCTAAATCTAGACATCTACACCTATTTCTTCAATCCTTTATATTTCAAAATGAGCTTATGCAAAATTCTTGCTTTATATCAATTATGAGAGGTTTTTATAGTTTTTTACTTCTTTCACAAAAGAAGTATTTGTATAGTGTGAATATCATCAAGCGACTGTAATTTTCTTGATTTTATGTTGTCTTTCTATGTAGGTGAGGTAGCTAAGCTCTTTGCTGATTCAGGCTTGATCTGTATTGCTAGCCTGATTTCTCCTTACAGGAGAGACCGTGATTCTTGCCGTGCACTGTTACCGGAGTCTAGTTTTATTGAAGTAGGTGCTTTATGAATTTACGCATTTAGTTGACACTGATAATGATTTCTAAAGCAGCTAGTTTAATCTCTGAATTTTCTTAAAGGTTTTCATGAACATTCCTTTAGAGATTTGTGAAGCAAGGGATCCAAAAGGCCTTTACAAGCTTGCTCGTCAAGGAAACATAAAAGGTTAAATTTAATGAAGAATGCTGCAGCTAAATTAGTTCTTTAATGTTGATATCACCTTAAATTTTCTTAAGAGATACAAAAGTTACTTTTGTATAGGCCATTTCAGTGAGATGAATGCCTGGACTTGGGCTAGTTGTACTTGCTAATAATGATGCTTATATTGGATGATTTTAATGATGAGAGTCTCTGATCTTTTTTCTGATAAAGATTAATCGATGGGATCAAAATAGCATTCTACAAATGTAGAACAATGCTAACTATTTTAAGAAGATCCTAGCTGAGGGATTGTTCTCAAGACGAGACAATGAGAAGAGTTTTCCAGATGATTATATAAAGATTTTTTGAACCTCTCACTAATTCAAGTATTTGATCCATTTTATTCCATAATAACTATGCAATATAGAATCAACCTTGGAACATTCCACAGGATCAATATCCACCTAGCTCATTTTGGTATATTAATTGAGAGCTTTGACTATAAACCAAGAGGTATTGGATTCAAGTCTTGCGTATGTGATGTGTGAGTGAGTGTCTTAATTGGCCTAAATGTCTAAAAAAATTTGAGAATATCCCCAATATTAATTCTTTTTATTTATATTTTTTGTATTTATATATCATCATCCATTCAAATTTAAGGGAAAATTTTATAAGATGGTGGTGAGACCTGCAATGCTTTATGATGCACAATGTTGGCCATTAAAAGAAGCATAATATTAAGTTAAGTGTTGTTGAGATGAGGATGCTCAGGTGGATGAGTGGATTTACTCTTCGAGACAGGATATGAAACAAGCATATCCATGAAAAGGTTGGAGTAGCTCCAAAGACAGATAAGATTAGAGAGAGTCGCCTTAAATGGTTTGGTCATGTAAAACGGCGGCCTTCCGATGACCCTGTTAGGAGAGTAATGTATTAGATTTCACCTATGTTAAGAAGGGTAAAGGTATAACTAAAATTTTTTTGTTAGAAAATATTAGAAATGACCTTTCTTTATTAGATTTAAATGCAAATTTGACTGTTCAAAGGACACAATGGAGAAAAAGGATTCATATAGCTGATCCCACGTAGTGGGATAATGGCTTGATGTTGTTGTTGTTGTATCCATTCTATTGAGAGATGTCATATTATTTTCAAATATTTCTCAACATATTTTCTTGCCTTTCTTCTTGTGACTAGTCCAGTAAAGAATTTGAACTAAGACCTAGAAAGGTGTCATACTGGGTTGGAAAATTGGTTACAATATAGAGTACAAAACATTGAAAAAGGCAGTAAAATAACTTTAAATGTTTTGGGCATGCATGGCCAGAGTTTCACCTGCCTTGTGGAAAAGTTTTATATTAGTTTGAGTCATCTAACCCATTAACGGAGACAGATCTTAATGGGCATGATATGCTTTTGGGTTAATTTCATACAAGCCTATTTGTGGTCAAAAACAAAATCAGGCACAAAGACAACCTAATACGACTTGTCATCTCGAAATTTAATGTTTGAACAATTTCAACACTTCTATTGATTCTTCATTAATGTCAGTACTTTTGCAGGTTTCACTGGAATAGATGATCCATATGAGACACCTTTGAATTGTGAGGTACATATCCAACTTCTTAATTAATTGAGGCAGTCTTTAACACCTATTATTGATAGATGTAATTGTGTAAAATCATAATTGTGATCCTAGGACATCCTGCATCATTGTGCATTCTCCTTTTTCTTTCTTGATTTTACCCCATCTATTTGAATTCTTGACTTATCTAACTGTACTCAATGATTCAAGTCACTATATTATATAGTAATTCACTTAATCTTTGATTCTTTGTAGGTAATTCATGAACTGTTATTAAGTTGCCGGATACTACTTTCATATGCTCTGCACCACAAGCTTGTCTGATGACTTAGGTTTTGTTTGGGATGACTTTTTTACTTCTTCTTAACGCAAATTTTTAGTACAAAAATTTAATTTTTGTACTAAAAAGTTACGTGAAGAAGCAGTAAGAAAGCCGTCTCAAACAAAACAAAACCTTAGTGAAACGCTGCATTGCTACCTCTAACAATTTATTGAACTAAAATAGACCTTTGGAAAATATTATTGCTGCTCCTATCTAGATAAGGTACCAAACATAAAGGAAAATGATCACCAAAATGTTATTAGCAACTTCTTTTCTTTACCATATCTGATGATTATGACGGCGCGGTAGTTTTTTTCTACATTAAACTCAGAAGGGAATTCATTTTTTTCTTCAACGCAGATAGAGATCAAGCCAGAAGATGGGGTATGTCCACCTCCAGCTGCCATGTCAAGCCAAGTTGTTACATTCTTGGAGGAAAGGGGCTTTCTGCATGCTTGATGAGATATGGACCTGTCACAAGAATTTCCAGAAAATAATAATTAACAGTTTTCTAACCAATCAATATTTACCTTTTAACCATATGGGCTTTATTCAATTGTTTGTCTTCAGTAACTATATTTATCAATTTATTTACTAAAAATATATTCTTATAAGTTCTGGATTATGTATTTGTCTGCTTCTCTGGGAAAACATCTTTC